TTATCAACTTTTGTTGGCACTTTATTGGGCTTCTATAATTTATTATGGTGACCCAACTAAATATTTGGTAGTCCATTCTCATATAATGGACCCGAAGAATAATTTAATTAATCTCTCATTAATTAAATGTATCAATCAATCATACGAAATTTATTCGCTAGGAAGTTCAAGTACATTTTAAGTTTCAAATTCAAGTACATCCGGGTGCGGTGTCACAAGTTCACCCCCCCTTAACGGGAATTTCGTCCCCGAAATTAACAAATGCTCATTCAAAAAGAAATGCGTATTGATCCTTCATTAAGGCTTCCGTTTCCCAAGTTTCTTCCTCAACTCGGTCACTTTTCCAAAGGATTTTAACCATTGGAACTTTCTTGCTCCTCAACTTCTTTACTTGCCTATCAAGTATCCTTACCGGTCGAACGGCATAGTTCAAGTCCTCACGTATTTCCACGGGTGGTTTCTCTAACACGTGAGACGGATCCGGCACGTATTTCTTTAGCATAGACACGTGGAACACGTTATGTATCTTCTCCAATTCTGGAGTCAACTGCAATCGGTATGCTACGGCCCCAATTCTTTCAAGAATCACAAATGGCCCTATGTAGCGTGGGTTAAGTTTCCCTCGGCTTTGAAATCGGATGATTCCTTTCCAAGGTGAAACTTTCAAGAACACCTCATCTCCCACCTGAAATTCCAAGGCTCTCCGGCGCTTATCGGCATAGCTCTTCTGTCTATCCTGGGCCGCCTTAAGTCTCTCTCGAATCATTTTCACCTTTGACTTGGTGATCTCCACCAATTCCGTGCTCTCGAGCTTGGCCATGCCAACCCCGTCCCAACACAACGGTGTACGACATCTTCTCCCATACAATGCCTCGTATGGGGGCATGCCAATACTTGCCTGATAACTATTGTTATAGGCAAACTCTACAAGTGCTAAATGGTTGTCCCAACTTCCTTGGAACTCCAATGCACAAGCTCTCAACATGTCTTCTAATATCTGTATGACCCTCTCACATTGTCCATCCGTCTGTGGATGAAAAGCAGTGCTAAACTTCAATTTCGTTCCCATAGACTCTTGGAACTTCGGCCAAAATCGTGATGTGAATCGTGGATCCCTGTCGGACACAATGGTTATAGGAACGCCATGTAGCCTCACGATCTCATCCACATACAACTTGGATAACCTCTCAAGTGCATAGGTAGTGTTGATAGGTAGAAAATGTGCACTCTTTGTAAGCCTATCAACCACAACCCATACGGCATCATAATTCTTAACTGTCCGTTGTAGTCCCACCACAAAATCCATGGTCACGTGCTCCCATTTCCATTCTGGAATGGAAAGTGGCTGCAATAACCCAGCTGGATGCTGATGTTCTGCCTTAACTTGCTGGCAAGTAAGGCATTTACTGATGTACTCGGCTATTTCTCTCTTCATACCAGACCACCAGTAACTTTCTTTCAGATCACGGTACATTTTCGTACCTCCCGGGTGCATAGCATACGCCGATGAATGGGCCTCCTCTAAGATGGACTTTCGGAGCCCCTCATCCGATGGTACACACACTCGGTCACGAAATAATAAGAGACCATCATCTCTTTCCCTGAAGTCCTCCACTGGTCCCGCTTGCATGCGTTCCCGGATCCTCATGATTTCCTCGTCAGTTTCCTGACCCTTCTTGATCTCATCAAGCAAAGTAGGTCTCACCTCAAATCGTGCCAATAAGGCTCCATTACTGGATACCTCCAGTTGGGCTCTTAAAGCCCTCAAGTTAGCTATCAATGCCCCAGATGAGCTTTTCCGGCTCAAGGCATCTGCCACCACATTGGCCTTGCCTGGATGGTACACGATTACCAGGTGGTAGTCTTTTATCAACTCCATCCACCGTCTCTGCCTCATGTTTAACTCTTTCTGAGTAAACACGTACTTCAAGCTCTTGTGGTCAGTGTATATGTGGCATGTCTCCCCGTAGAGATAATGTCTCCATATCTTAAGTGCAAACACCACTGCCCCGAGCTCCAAATCATGACTAGTATCATAATACTAGTCGGATAAATTCCAACAAAACTTATTTTCAATTCATAGTCATATATACAATTTCCAAACTAATTTTCCATTGAAAATATAGTTCATATCAATATACAAAATATAACCTTTAATCACTCATATATCCTTATATGAAGTTAAAGTTATATTTCAACACAATATTTATAATTAATCCTCTCATCAAGCCAATATGCTCATATTACATAATCATACACAATTTACCCTTAAATTTGTATATTATGCTCCTTTATTCATTGACAACAATATTTTCATTTAGGCATTATTAATCATTAATAATCCATGAAAATCACATTTAATTACTTTAGGTAATCCTACGAAATTAACCCAAAGATTATAAGCAACATAGTCAGCCATCCTCACCTTATGACGTGCTGCAATAGTTGCCTTTGCTAAGCCCTTCGATCAATCCCCGTTCTAAACCGATTAGAAGTGGAAAATCTGACCAGCAGACGAAAGCCGGGCGGCTTTTGCCAAAGGTGGGCGGCTTTCGTGGTCTGCAGCTACGAACAGCCTCCTATACTTGGCGGTTTCCGGCGATTTCAACTCCTATCGATTCCACGACTCTTCTAAGTTAAATATCACCACTTTATAACATTATTCTACACTTTTAAACGTGTATAACTTCATGTTTGATCCATCATATGATTTCTTAAAAATCATACAAAAATAAAGCTAGTTAAAGAACTATATGAGTTCTTACCTCCAATCCTAGCTCTTTCTCCTTGGATTTCGTTTTCTCTTGCTTCCTCCAAGATATGAATGATGTGAAGAGCTTCTCTAGAGCCTCTCTCTCTTCTCTTGGTTCGAATGAGTGGAATGGGAAGGGGATGTATCTATCCTCAATCAAACACCAAGGTAGGGTGTTGATAGGACTTTAGGGAGTATTTCTTGTCTCATGCAATCCCCTCCCTCCACAAGTCCGCACCCCCCCATGTTGGGATGTCTCTTTTACATTATTTGAAGTCTATAAGGCTTGTAGGAAAACCCCAAATGGGTATAGGAAGTCCCTCCCAATTATTCCTGCTATTTTTGGTAGGTTCGGCCAAAATAGCACTCGGGTTGTCCAAATATTTTTATCAACTTTTGTTGGCACTTTATTGGGCTTCTATAATTTATTATGGTGACCCAACTAAATATTTGGTAGTCCATTCTCATATAATGGACCCGAAGAATAATTTAATTAATCTCTCATTAATTAAATGCATCAATCAATCATACGAAATTTATTCGCTAGGAAGTTCAAGTACATTTTAAGTTTCAAATTCAAGTACATCCGGGTGCGGTGTCACAATAAGGGTCTGTTACAACGCACAAATGCTACCTGGCCCGAGGCCGATCGTCTTTCTCTCTAAGGAAGAGCTGAGAACACTTATATAAGCTAAGGAGAATGCTAGAATGCTGAAGCAGGTAAGTTGTCAACTTTTTACAATAAAATAAATGCTACTATTTATACTACCAAGGGGCATGTGGATGTACTGACGTGGAGAGCTGTGTATGGCTAGGCTCCCAACCACCAAATTTCCAACATTAAATGCGTTTCCCGCCAGAATTTTGGTTTCCCGCCAATGTTTCGGGACAAGCGTCCCCATGGGCTTTGGGCCTTCTCATGGCAATGTCCTAAGGGGTGGAAGCTGAGTGTCTTCTGGGTCATGGAAGCCGGAGTGCACTGGATGGCTTGAGTGGACAAGGCCTTTGGGGTCGAGCGTCCCTTCGCAGTACGTACGTCTCGCGGGCCTTTATGTACTACTGCGGCTGATTGCTCTGGATTTGGAGCCTGGAGACTTGCGTATGGAATTCCTTCCTGTTGGGCCTTGGGGTCGTTCATCAAGGGAATAATGGGGCGACCTTTGTGTTGGACCATTATCCCAACAAATATTACCAAAATAGGAATATATTATTTATCTTATCAAAATAGGACTAAAATATACCATATCTTCCTATTCTACTCTTACCATAATATAATAGGATAATCATATCTTAATTTGCAATAAAAACAAAAAATAATAAAAAAAATTTAACTTATAAAAAAATAGAAAAAATTATAAATATTTTTAAAATATACTAAAAATAAAAAAATAAAACAAAATTATTTATTTTAAAAACAAAAACTTCAAAAGTAAATAAAAATAAATAAAACACATTAAAAAAAATGGAAGCCTTTCCCACAGCCTTGGCCACTGCCCAACAATGCTACCTCCGATCGACTAAAAAAATGTAATTTTGTATAAAAACTGTCATTTTTCTGAAAATGCCATGAAGATGATGTTTTTACTCTTTAAAAATGTCAAAATTTTCTCGAAAACCGCCATCAAGATGACATTTTGACACATTTTGTCATTTATTTTCGGTGGTTAGAACTGGTGGTACTGGGAGGTTGTTCAGGTGGCATCATAGGCCTGCATTGTTTTTATATTTTTTATTTTTATTTTTTATTTTTTTTATTTTATATCTTTTTTATTTTTCGATTTTTTTATTTATTTTATTTAATATTTATTTTTCTTTTTTTTGATTTTTTATATTTTTAATATAAATAAATTTATGTTATTACTTTTATGTTTTAATTAATAAGGAAATATGGATTGAATTAAAATAAAGCAAGGGTAAAATTGGAAAGTTTTTCCTATTTAGGAAATTTTTAAACTATGTTCCTATGTTCACAATTAAAGTTTTATTTTATCTAATTTAGAGAATTCTCTCTAAAAATAGCATGTTATATTCATTTAAGAAATGAGGTAGCAAGTGTATTCGTTATTTTTTTTTGCCCACCCTAAGTAGGAGGGATATCCATAATCCATTGATGTGGGAGGTAGCTGTAGCTCATCTCTTATGGCTAATGACATGCAGACTCCTACGTATACTATACTGTATGCAATAAAAGGTAGACCTATTTCTCGTGTATATATATAATTATACATATAAATTGAGCTATGGCACTACCAAACCAGAGCTGTACCTAATTGTGTGTTAGGTCTAGTAACAACCTTAGCCATATTTAGTCTTCTTATCTTGTCAAAGCTTTAAAGATTATCAGTAAGTAGCAGTTTAGTTTAGGTCTACCAACTGGTGGTTACCGATTCAGACCCCTAACCATCACCGCCCAAACGGAGAACAACCACCGCCACTTCCCGGGTCTTGCAAATGTCCCATTTTGGTGTTTCTTGAAAAAAAATCATTTCTTTTTTAAAAAAGAAGAAGTTTCTAGGGTGTTTTTGGTCGTGTAGCTTGGACCCCACTTTGGGAAAGCTTGGAATTATTGAAAGGGAACCCAAAATATGTTTATTATTTCAACAGGAAAGGTTGAGGCTGGCTTGTCTTCTGTGCTTTCATGATTACCATTCTATTTTCCTGAAAATTATTATTTCTTGACAATTACTGTTATTGTTGCTAGTTTCTTTGGTTGGTGTCATTGTTCAATGATAAGGAGGGTGAGGATCTTTGGGGGATATATGAGTTCTGTCTCCCTCCACATGGGAAATCTTCTCTTTTGAGCCAGTTGAATTCAATTTTTTTCGTTCTTTCTTTCTTTTGCTCTCAATCACTCTCTTTGCCTATCTCTGTTTCCTCAATTGTGGGAAACACAGAAATTCCAGATTTCTCCCCAGGTAATTTCTTGATTTGTTTTGGATATTTCCTGCTCCTCTTATGTTTTGCCCTTGCTTGTGATTGATATTTGATGTAGTAATCAGTGATCTGTTAAGGATATTTCTGATGAGTTTTTTATGTAGTTGACCATGATCTTGGAGTCTTGCTCTGTGGGATATTCTATCTTTTCTGCATATTCTTGCTCCAATTTTTGTTAAGTATGCCATGCTATAAAATATAAATCATTTTATTATGTTTCTTAGCCTGAGAAACATTTCTTTATGTATAATTTTTTTAATATTCTGTATAGGTTCATTGGCATGATGGGAGCAACCATGAAGATATTTGGTTTATTTGCTTTACTGAATGTTATAATATTGCCTCTTGCTTGAAATCACTACTCAACTTGAAGCTTAGGAATCTGTCTGATTGTGGAAAAAAGATATGGCAACTTATTTCTCGGGTTTGGCTGACCAAAGAGAAGATCTTCCAATGCCATTATTGCCAAACGAGAAACATGATTCCTACCAACCGCCTGGGTTTCCCAGTAACTTGGTCTATTTGAACCATCCTTCCACCATAGCATCCTACCCGGAATTATCCTCATTGTCTTCTTATTCCACAAAACCATTCGATGCTCAAAGTGTTGAACAAAATCTTCATTATCAAGGATTATCCCTTAGTTTGGCAATGCAAGTTCCATCTTCGGTCCAAATCCCTCCATACCATGACCCATATACTAACTCTGGGTTCTCTTCACTTATGGCTACCCAAATTATGAATTCGGATCATGGATCACAAAATGATGAGAATAAACGTGTGGAGTATTCATTTGGCTTAGAGGGAGACAATCACGAAAGGTCAATGAATTTTAGTCAACATATAAATGGTATTGCAGGGAGTGTTTATAACTCTAAATATCTCAAGGCCACACAGGAGTTGCTTGACGAAGTGGTTAATGTTCATAGAGATATTCGGAGACCCGAAAAACGTAACCTAAATTCATTTGGACAAGACGAAGAGGCTGATATGAAGTCATCACCCAGCTGTTTCGGAGCTGGTATGATATCATCGGAAGGCCACAGTTCGACTAACACATCGTCTGGTGGAGAGCTTTCGGCTGCTGAACGGCATGATCTTGATAGCAAGATCACAAAGTTATTCTCCCTATTGGATGAGGTGAGTCTGTTATATTATGGTGTGATTGGTCTGGGTTCTTCAATGCTGAATCCATCTAAACTATAAGTGATATCTTCTCTTAGATAGCTTTTATTGAGGGGCCATTTGGCAAGGTTATGTTGATGAAATATGCTTTCTTTGAAGTAAAAAATGTTTTGCAAGTGTGCCTTTGGGATGACTTATTTTTAAAGAATGTGATTATTATAGGTAGAGAAATATCTTTACTTAAAAAGTGCTTGCAGGAAATGGAAAGAAGTGATTTACTTTGAAAAATACTCGTACTTATTTGAAAAGCAACAGATTGCCGCTTTAAAAGAATGCGTCTATTTTTTAAATGAGAACACTTCTTATAAAACCACTTATAGTATAAGCCATCCCAAAAAGCTGTTAGTCATAAGCTAATTGCCGTGCTAATGAGCAAAATAAGCCTATTATGGCTACCGAACGGATCCTGAGACTTCTTTTAGTCTTCCTAATTTTCAAAAAAGATATAGAAACATTTCATTCTTAGAGAACCCAAAATAAGCTATTGCAATGGTCTGATTGCCGCCACACCGCACACATGGCTAAAAGTTGCAAACTAGCAAAAGGCTGTCGTTGGGCAGGAGCTGAAAATCACAAGGTGTAAATGGTGTTAGAAGTGTCTGGGTAAGACTAGTTGTTGAGTAGCTGATTTATGTAAAAGGACGTAAGGGGCATCACATATACTGCTTATAGATTGATACATACTTTTATTTTTCTCCAAAACTATTGAGAGATAAATTTTCAATTCAGACCTTATTTTAAGCTCTTACACTATTCACCAAACCTGACTGGTAACTTTTTTGGAGCTTAAAAGAATTTTGCCAATTGCCACTTTTAGTCCTCGATGACACTTTTGGTATTGTATCTGAATTTATTAAAAGAGTTTGGGGCTGGCTAACATGAATCATATGATATTAGAATTAAAAGCATTAGACAGAGGAGGAAGACACACAATTGTTCTGTTGTGACAGACAGTCTTTGTAGTCCTTAAACTTATTCACTTTTAATCCTCAAAATATTAAGAAAGTGACACTTCTGATGGAGAACTGCCTAAAGTGGAAGATTCATAGTGAGCATCAAAAGTGTCAGAAATACAATAGCTGAAGGATTAAAAGTATAAAAAACCTAGCTTCAAATAAGCTACATGCTCTAAAATAAGCTTTACCGAACACACACACAATATTCATATTTATTTTCTCCATTTCAATGGAGCTGTTAAAAACAATAATATCATTACACTTCCTTATATATAGGTGGATAAAAGGTATAGACAGTATCACCAGCATATGCAGGATGTGGTGTCCTGCTTTGAAATGATTGCCGGACTTAATTCAGCTAAGCCATACACGTCACTAGCCCTAAGAACGATCTCTTGTCAGTTTCGCTGCCTGCGGGATGCAATCAAGAGACAGATTCAAGTCGCACAGAAAAGCTTAGGAGAGGAGCAAGGTGGTGGTGGTAGCCAAGGAGAAAGGTTGCACCGTCTACGTTACGTGGACCAGAAACTGAGACAGCAAAGGTCACTGCAGCAGTTTGGCGGTGTGATGATGAGACAGCCGTGGAGGCCTCAGAGAGGTTTGCCAGAGAATGCTGTTTCTGTGCTCCGTGCTTGGCTTTTTGAACATTTCCTCCATCCGTATGTTATTATGGTCTATTTATGTTATGGGCAGCTTTATATATGTGCATGCTATTTGTTCTTTTGGTACCAATAGATGCTACCTGTCTTTACTATTTCTGAAAATTTAGGTACCCGAAAGATTCAGAAAAGAGCATGCTTGCAAGGCAGACTGGGTTAACCAGAAGCCAGGTATTCAAATTCTCCATAAGTATATTATATGTATGTATATAGATGGAGGGAGAGATTTTGATGAGATAAAATGAGCTGTAGCCTGTAGGTAAAAATGGGAATAAATGTGATGCATTCGATTGTAGATCTGAAGGTTTCAAAAGATGAGTTTTTTTTTTTAAATAAAACGTGGAGTAAAACTTGTATATTAGTGGAATATCTGCTTCCACTCTAATTGAATAGTGCATACATGAGTCTTATAAGTGCAGTTTCATATGATAAAAGTGCATCACTCTTGGCTGTTTTCATTTTCAACGGAAACTACTTTATATTGGAACCTCAACTTACATATATATGTATGCTTATTTATACACAGTATATTAAATGGGATCTTCCTTGATGAGGGTGTGCACGAAAAGTTAGTTTAGGAATTGAAGTTTTCAATTTGATTAATGAGTTATTCATTTGTGTGGATTTTGGAGTCTGAATCTAAACTGAAATATTTATGGATCATTGAACTTCCATAACAACACGTTTCGTACTTCATTTCCATGGCAAAAGACTAAGTAAGGTAGTTCTGTTGTTTGGTAGGAGGAATAGACCTAATTAATTACTTAATTAACATAAAAGAAACTCAATGTTTGGTATATAATGAATTGAAGGGAAATAAATAGTTCCATTAGTTTGGTAGTCAATAACATGGGTTAGAGGAATTTTGGCTCCGCAGAATTCACCTTAAGTACTGCGTGACAAACATGTAAAACTTCGAAGCCAACTTGACTGAAATAAGCAAGGCAGCCTAAGCTTCTAAAGGTCAGACATTAGAGACCGTTGACCTGCTTAGCACTGACCCAGCTAATTGGGCTTATAAGGTTATGATTATCTAGGACAATGCTTAATAAGTAGAAGTCACTATGGTTATTGACCAAGTTTGTCACTGAGGTAGCATTCTAATGAAGTATACCTTCATGTACTCAGGTTGCAAACTGGTTCATAAATGCTCGAGTGCGTCTTTGGAAGCCAATGATTGAAGATATGTACAAAGAGGAGTTTGGCGATACAGAGGAAGGAGGCTGTACTGCTTCGCCCAAACAGATAACAGAAAAGGACAAGTCACAATCTGAGGAAAGAGACAATGATTTTGCTGAGCAACACACAGCATTATCCAACCAAACTGGTGATGAATGTATTACTCAACCAAACAGTGGTTCCATGTTTGGGGGCGGCAATCAAGTGTCTCTCGCTCTAGGCTTGAAACAAAATCAGAACAATCTAGATAAACAATTAAGAGGGGTTAGTGATAAAGCGGCTTCCTCTACGGACATTATGGGAAAACCAGGAGATTACTACTATATAGACCAACAAGAAAGGTTCGTCAACTCGCATCTCTTGCCAGATTTTGTTTTATGAAGCAAAACAAGAAAAGTTCACTGCATACAGATACTACTGGTGTGAATTCAATCATGTTATAATTTTTTATAATTTTTTGCTTCCTGCCTGGTAGCCTGGCAGGAGTAGCATATTTTTCTATGCATGTATATAAACACGGCATGTGTCTACATAATCCGGTTATTGTGCAATACACACAGTAAATGATAATATTTGTGAAAGGATAGCTAGGTTAGTTTTCGTGTGAATTACACATTTGTTTTGTAAATTGTGTTTGCCAATAAAATAAATGAATTCTGTATAAAGAATTTTGCACATTCTTGAAATAGACTTTTCTTTACTCTCATCACCGAATGGTGCAATGTTTCAAACCTTCTGGAATATTGTTCCAAGCTTCAACTACTGAAGTGAACTTACAATGTTGTGAATGAATGTTAAATGAAGAAGTATGATGGGCTTTCTTCTTCAGTGTGACTTTGGTACTATGATTTGAAAAAGTTTGGTGTTAAGCTAAGCTTTGTTTTCGGGCTTTTGTGCATGTCTGAATCTTGGTTTTCTGCAAAATGATTTAAAGGAAAAGTGCAGAAGAAAGTTGTTTAATGATGTTGGAGTAAAAGATGGTAAGAAAAATTGTTACTGAGATTCCAAGACAAAAGTGGAAAACTTAGGATTGAAGTGTCTATTTGGGACAAAACAGTCTTTAAGTTGATGTTACCAAACACTTTCTTTCAGCAGATTGGACAACTTTTGTGATATAACCCTTGGCAAACGGACACTCTGAACATTGCCATTTGCCAGTACCATATTTGTCGACCAAAAAGTTTTTATTCTAAAATGTGGTGAAGCCGTAATGGAATTTTACCAAAATAGGAGTAAAAATTAGTTAACCTAAATAAAAATACTACTCCCTCCGTAACATTCATATCTTCTCACTTTTCTTTACGGAGTATGAGCCTGTTTGGTAACACGAAAATCGGCCGATTCTGCTGAAATTTATGAAGTTCTGGCAGAAGTGGCTGCTTTGGTTGATTCTGCTGATTTAAGAAAAAAAAATTTAAAATATATTTTATTAATAAAATAAAGAAAACATTATATGTAAAAATAGCTAAAATGGTCATCTACACGAACTTCAGCCGATACAGCCAGAAAAGTAACCACAACCTTACTTTTTCTGCTTATTACACAATCCAGCGCGCGAAAGCAAAAGTTACGTGTTTCGTGAAAAAGTTGGCTGATAAGCCTGATAAGCCGAAAAACAGTGTTGCCAAACGGCCTCTATGTACTCTATATACATTATTATATTGTCATATTGTAGCATTATGATACATTAATAATGTTATATTAATGTCATAATATATCAATATAATTTCAAGATGATGACACCTACTCGGTTACTCCCATATAATCAAATGCCTTGCTTTTACCTCCTATTGAAGATAATATCTTTAATAATAATAATGTAGATAATAAATGTATTACTTGAGAATTTACTAATTTAGATTCGTTTGGTTGAGATGCAAAATAAATTGAACTTGGCAAGAATAGACAATATTCAATTTTTTGAATTAGAATTGCTGCCAATCCAACTTGTAAAGCTCGTCTCGGATTATATGTTTGATACAACAGTTTTTAAAGTTTTCTTAAAAACAAAAGATCTTGTTTTAGAAGTTAAACCGAGAGAAAGTTTATAGCTTTTATCATTAACGGTATTTTTGGGACACATAATTGAAATGATACTTTAAGTTTTTAGTAATTGTTAGTTTTTAATGACTTAATTTTTTGAAAAGGAAAACTAACAAATAATTCCTCGTACTACTGTGAAATGGAAATTACATCATGCTAAAAAATGCCCAATCAGTGTAAGGTGTTAGAGACGGTTTCTTAATTTATTTTTGGAAACACGTTTCTTAATTTATTTTAGGAAACACATCCTAGTTGCCTTGGGGTTAGGATTTACTTCTCTATAAATACAAGCTCTCTCCCTTGTAATCATTGTGTGTGGATCCAAAAATAGCAATAATATTCCTGGCTTGGTAGCGAACTGGGTTACCAAATTTCGTGTGTTCTTCATTATTGTTTTTTCGTGTGCGTGAGTTTAATTCCTAACAATTAGTATCAGAGCCCTGGGTTCGAACGGAGATCTCACGATGGCAAACAATACGAAGACACCGGTGATGCAGTTTGACGGAATGGATTACAGATTCTGGAAGTTGCAGATCGAAGATTACCTGTACGGTAGAGATCTGTATCAACCTCTGGATAATAAGCCGGAAGACATGAAGAAAGCGACTGGAAGTTGCTGGACAGAAAAACGATGAGCGTGGTTCGATTATCGCTGTCCAGAAACATCGCCCTACATACCGTCAAAGCAAAAACGACGAAGGAGATGTTGCAGATTTTGTCGGATATGTACGAAGAACCATCCGTCGTGAACAAAGTTCATCTAATGAGGCGTCTTTTTAATCTAAAGATGTCAGAAGGTACGGGGGGGGGGGGGGGGGGGGGGGTGATGGATCATCTCAACGAGTTCAATGTAATCACCACACAGTTGAGCGCGGTTGAGATAAAATTCGACGACGAAATTCATGCCCTTATTCTGCTGTCTTCTCTCCCGGAAAGCTGGAACGGAACGGTGACAGCAGTCAGCGCTTCTGTGGGGAAGAAGAAACTGAAATTCGATGAAGTCAGAAATCTAGTGGTCAGCGAAGAAATTCGTAGGAAGGAATCAGGCTTGGCTTCTGGATCGGCGTTAAGAACAGAGAATCGGGGCAGAACGAGGTCGAAATCCAAGTCAAATCGGGATAGATCAAGATCCAAATCCAAATCAAACAGCAAGGGAAAGAAGGACAGAAGTCAGATCAAGTGCTGGAATTGTGAGGAGTACGGACACTTCAAGAGCCAGTATAAGGAGCAGATCAAGGATCAGAAGGAGAAGACATCTGCTAACGCAGCGGCAGAATCATCTAGTGATGATCTCCTGATCCTGAGCGTGAGCAGTCCGTTGGAGTCATGGGTTCTGGATTCCGGAGCCTCGTTCCATTCATGTGGTAATTCTGAAGTGATGGAACAATATACTCCCGGCAATTTTGGAGAGGTGTATCTTGCTGATGATGAGCCTCTTAAAATTGTGGGGAAGGGGACAGTCTACGTAAAGACTCCGAACGGATGCATTCTGAAACTGAATGGTGTCTGACACATTCCTGGTTTGAGGAGGAATCTTCTTTCAATTGGGCAGCTGGATGAGGAAGGTTATGCAGTTACATTCGGCAGCAGAAATTGGAAGATCACCAAGGGGGCCTTGCTGGTTGCTAAGGGGGAAAAGGAGGGTACGTTGTACATGACAACGAACTCGAAGGATTACATCGATGTTGCTGCCGCTACAACAAAGGATGTAAATTTGTGGCACTGTCGGCTCGGTCACATGAGCGAAAAGGGGATGAAGGAGCTGCGCTCAAAGGGCAAACTGCCCGGCCTGAAGACTGTTGAGGTTGGCTTATGCAAGGACTGCATATTCGGGAAAAAGAAACATGTCAGTTTCTCAAAGGGAAGGCAAGCTATCAAACCGGAGAAGATGGAACTAGTTCACACCGACCTTTGGGGACCTGCAGAAGTTACATCCTTGGGAGGATCCGCTTACTACATGACCTTTATTGATTATGCCACAAGAAAGGTGTTGGTTTATTTTCTCAAAAATAAATCCGATGCCTTTGATGCTTTCAAGAGGTGGAAAGCTCGTGTTGAGACAGAGACAGGTCTGAAGTTGAAGTGGCTTCAGTCAGATAATGGAGGTGAGTATGAACTGCATGAGTTCAAGAAATTTTGTGCTGAGAATGAGGTTCGTATGGAGAAGACAACAAAGGGGACTCTGCAGCATAATGGCGTTGCTGAACGCATGAACAGAACAATGAATGAGCGGGCAAGATGCATGAGGTTGAAGAGTGGCTTACCGAAGATGTTTTGGGCGGATGCAGTGAACACTGCGGCTTTTCTCATCAACAGAAGTCCAACGATCTCGTTGGAGAATGGCATTCCTGAAGAAATATGGACGGGTAAAGAGGTAAATATGTCCTATCTCCGCATATTTGTTTGTGTTGCTTATGTTCATATCAGTTCCGTTGACAGAAGTAAGCTAGACGCAAAATCCGTGAAGTGTACGTTCGTTGGATATGTTGGTTATGACTATGGATACAGATTTTGGGATGATCATAATAGGAAGATTATTCATAGCCGATATGTGGTCTTCAACGAAACGATTATGCACAAGGACAGATTGGTGCATCTGATTCTGAGCAAGAAAGTCCGAAGATAGTAGAGTTGGATATCTCTAATTTGGGTGGGAGCAAGCAGGATCAGAATGAAGATTTGAGTAGTGATGAAGATCCATCAACCCCACAAAGGCAGCGGCCTGCCAGAAATCGGAGAGCACCAAATAGGTATTCGCCTTCTAATTTCTATTTGTTGCTTACTGATGGTGGAGAACCGGAATCCTATGCAGAGGCAGTTCGGGTTGATGACAAGGGCAAGTGGAAACTTGCAATGGATGATGAGATGGCATCTGTCACATCCAATGATACTTGGAGGTTAGTTGAGCTACCAAGAGGAAAGAAGGTTTTGCACTGCAAGTGGGTCTACCGCATCAAGAAGGGGGCAGATGGTAGCAAACGCTACAAAGTTAGGCAGGTTGTGAAGGGGTTTGAGCAGCGTTATGGTATTGATTACACAGACATATTCTCTCCCGTTGTGAAACTTACTACTATTTGGTTAGTGTTGGGGTTAGTTGCTGCAGAGAATTTGTTGTTACATCTGATGGATGTGAAGACTGCATTCCTTCATGGTGATCTGAATGATGAGATTTACATGGTGCAACTGGAGGGCTATGTGGCAGAAGGCAGTGAGAATCTCGTATGTAAGCTAGTGAAGAGCTTATACGGGTTGAAGCAAGCACCGAAGCAGTGGTACAAGAAATTTGATGGTTTCATGCGTGAAATCAGTTTCTTGAGATGTCACACCGACAATTGCTGATACTACAAGAAGACCAAGAACTATTATCTTATCTTGCTATTATATGTAGATGACATGTTGATTGCAGGAGCTAGTTCAAAGGAGACTGAGAAGTTAAAGAAACAGTTGACAGAACGTTTTTCCATGAAGGATCTTGGAGAAGCAAAGCAGATTTTGGGCATGCGAATCGAGAGGGATGAGGCAGCGGGCAGATTGTATCTTTCACAGGCAGAATACATTCAGAAGGTCTTGGAAAGATTCAGAATGCAAGATGCAAATGCACCAAGTGTACCGTTGGGTAGTCACTTCAATCTTAGCAAGGAAGACTCACCGAAAAACAAGGA